TGTCTATATGTGTGTGTGTATGTGTGTGTGTGTGTGTGTGTGTTTGTTTGTTTGTTTGTTTGTTTGTTTGTTTGTTACTTTGTATATATATATATATGCTCATACTTTCCACAAACAACTGATGCAAATATAACACTTATAATTGCAGATTAATCAAATACTCCCATCAGTTTGGTCCTAATACGACTGCACATTTTATCTTCTTTAATTTCAAAATGGAAAATACAAAACGCAAAAAGAAGTATAATCTCTATAACCTACTGACCACTTGTAGTTTTATCTAATCTGACGGTAACATTGAACGCTAGCAAATTGCCATCAAATTATTTTTAGTTTGTAGAGCTGCTAAAATACCTTTCTTTAATTTTTCTGATTATTGTACACATCGTATAAGGCTAAAAGAATTTCAGATTACGCCGCACTAACCGTGTTCATTAGATAAGGAGAAATTACATAAAATGTGACCATGTTTTCGTTTTCAACCTTAACACCGTAGATCTACGACATAAACCATAAATTGTTTGTTAGCAAACCATGAACGAACTTGTAACTCTCGTGTCAAGTACTTTTCTTTGTGTTCTGTAGCCAACGGCAATTTCAATTGCTTGTCTATTAGTTTTTTAGTACCGAACTACTATAGTACTAGATATTATAATAATTAATGTTTTTCCACCTATATTATTTTTTATCGAACAGTATTCTTTTCTCGAATATTTTACACATTGTATAGATTGAACTGATTTGTACCAGTTCCCTTTCACATTATTGGCTATGTTATAATCTTTGACTGTAAGTACATTTATCTAAAACGCTTGAAAATGTAAATAAATTAAAATCATAGGTAGTTTTAATAGACACTGAATCTAAACACGTAAATTCTGGAAATTGTCCCGACCCTGCAGGATCGTTCTTGAGAAAACATATATGAATGTATTTTTATGGGTATGCGCAAGTATCCGAGAAATATAAGGAAATTGATTTAATTATTCGTAATAGAAGCTGCCAAAGCTTCAATCGTCGGCTCGCATACCTTTTACTTCTCCTTGATGTCTTTGCTGAAAAAGAATGAGAGAGAAACTTGTAAGGATTTCCAATTCGGCAAGCGGTGTAAACAAGAAGCGGTGTTCTTAAGAAAAATTAAAGTAATTGCTATTTACCCTATCTAATTCTTCTTTTGTACGCTCTTCGATTGCTCTAATATCTTCCATGGTTAAACCATACCAACGGTCTATCCAACAAAACACTTGCCTATGAAAATTAGTAAACAGACGTCTCTCAGCTTTCTGAATGAAACTCTCGACTCGAGTTTGTAGACCAAACCATTTAAATTCACAAGTGACTAGCTTATAGCATGTCATCACAGGTTGAATATTATTTTTCCAGTCTTTGCCAACTAGGGGACCCCGACCTGTTTTCACAGACTTGAATTTGGTAGGATCCTCGTCTTCTTTGTAATCAGCATTTGCAATGGGATCATTAGCGATATCTATATGCACCACTTCCCTTATCTTTAATTTATCGGGAGGTAATTCGTGAACCTATATTGCATTCGAGTGACGAATATAGTAAAGAAAAGAAAATGAGATGGTTCCTTCTTAATAGTTTTATACGTACGTTATGTTGATTCCCACCGTCGTCGATGTGAAACGATTCAATCATAATTACAAAATTCTCTCTCATATATCCGGGATTCTGTAAGAAAAAATAACGAGTATGCGTACAAATGATAAGATTGGAAAGAAAGTTACGCTCAATATACACGGCAATCTCAAGTGTAACTTTATATACGATACATTGTTACAATTAGAGGATACTCACAGTTATAACAGTTTTGCAATAGGGATAAGCATTCCAAGCTTCCTCATGAATTTCCAATGAATCCTTTGGCAACAGAATACGAATGAAAGCAGGCACTTTACTAGCTAAGTGATAGATCTTGTACGTGTATTGACCCGAAGAATATTTTCCACCGAGCAAAGGATAATTTGTGAATGGCTCATTTTTTAGCACCTCTATGCCCTCTCCACCCCCTGTATTATTTTTGCTCGCCTCTGCCACAGAATACAGTTGAGCCACTTGGTACTGTTACGAAGAGAATTGCAGATGTTACAAAGATTAGGTAGCACCAAATAGTTGAACGCGAGTTTCCAATATCATGGCTAAAACTAGACGAAATATTAATTTGTTCATTAAATTTTTGATGGTCGAGTCGACAAACACGGATTTAATCAATATCGAGTAGATCAATGAAAACTTTGAATATATATGTATTGCACTGGAATTTACACGCTCGAACAACTGAATCTGTCCCATACGTGAAATTAAAATATTTAGACGTAACACGCAAGATAACCCGTATGTGTTGGAATAAATGTTAATTAAATGAATTGCAAATCTTGGAAATTATATGATACCGATGCATTAGCTAATTTATGCTTATATTTCAGTGTGTAATACTGCAACTCATCCCAAAGTGGGTCATTAAAATAAGACCTTGCTTTTGAACAAATACGTACCTCTTGCACTGTAAGAGGCAAAGTGACGCGGCTGTAACAGAGAAATTAATAAATTGAATCTATATATTCGAGATGTTAATAAGCAGAGAATGCGTATCGATTTATATGAAATGGCTCTGAGTAGAGATTCCAAGTGTGAAATTAAGTATGATAAATCAAAGTGTGAATATTCGGACGTCAGACGTAACGTAAATTGAACGAACGTTTCTAAGGAAATCAGTTATCAGTAAAAATTGATAACAATCATTGATAGAGTACGAGGTTTGGTATGTACGGATCGCAAGGGATGAAGGTACATATATCCCTCTTCACCCCTCCAATCCAACCCACCGTTAAAGATTAGTAACCATATCCCGAGAATTGGTTTTAAACGTGCAACCAGTAACCGTCTATCGCGTTCCTGCAAGCTAACAATAGCGAAATTCAAGACAACTTACAACTCTTTGATTAGCATCTTAACAAGCAGAGCACATGGGCTGCAGTAATTTCAGTCCGACTACACACAGCACCACCCTTGCTTCAACAAATTCACTCGTGTTATCTCTGAACCCGCAGTCATACGCACACAACGGCGCCTTCACGACTGACACACACTCGCGCGAACACTCAGTCGACTCTACACTGCCACGGCCACCGAACACCACCTATACTTGCACACACGTGTCCATCGAATTTCCCCTACTCTGCTCTCTCACGGACACTTTGCAAATGACGTCATGCTTACATGTTGTATCCTAGATCGCATGCGTCTGAATCATCTATCAACTTCACAACCGTTTCAATATTTTACGGATTTTAAATAGAATTTTTTCAATCTATCAATTTCTCATTCCCACGGGTTCCAACGTTTAGTATACGTGTGCGATTTTTATCATTCTATAATTGGAAAATGTCATTTCTAGTGCGCGTTCTATACGACCAATGATCAAAATACGTACTTGGTTGTACCTACCTATGTACATACATATACCTCCCACTCTGCAACCGAGAATCACAAACTATTACAATGAGACCCAAAGAGAGAGAGAGAGAGAGAGAGAGAGAGAGAGAGAGAGAGAGAGAGAGAGTAAAAGGGACAGAGATCTCTCTTGTATTGTAATACTCAATGGTAGACATTTAATGCATTTCGACCGTGGCTACTTAAATATATTTATGTATAATAATATTCTTTTCTAACGTCTTCTCCGACAGAATCAAATTAGTCGTTTAATTCTCTTAATTCGAGCTTGTTGCCCAACAATTGGTATATCGCAGTTTATTCTTCTCCATTAATACCTAACTGGAATAGAACAAATTGATTGTTTTCCTTTTTTAAATTACAAACAGCCATCGACGCTTCTCCTATTGGTTTATACTCTCGTATAATTTTAGGAAAATTAAGTCTATTTGAATTTCCTTATGAATTCGTTTCCGAGGCGTCATTTTGAATGCTGTTTAAATTCACGACAGCAATCGGGAATATTTGATATTCTACTCGCTCGATCAAACATTTTAGCGAATGCAAAGCGGATGAATGAAAATTCGAGAATGAATCCAAACAGTGAGAATGTGAAAAACGAGAAGCAGAAAATGCCGTCTATTTTACACGCGAAGGTTATGCACGAAAGACAGAAGGTAAAACTATATGTACTTTCAAATGATTCGACATAACCTCTACAACCAAATCGTTTTGCAATTGACTAACTTATATTTTCACTTCCGTACAAGCTGGGAAATATAATTAGCAGTTAAGATGCAATATTGTTGTGTAACGAATTCATCTCTCGAACACTAGCTACTTGAATTTCATTTATTTTTCAAGTAGTCGCATCGTATAAATACTGGTAGATCGGTTTCACCGCCGAGGCGCTACTTAACGTTCATGAGCTTCAATTCATTTAATTCCACGAACATAATGTGCTGTATTTCTACCCAAGTATATACCATGGTACTTGTGTCCATGCTTAATTCGTTGGTTTGAATCGTATTTACCAATATCATAGCGCACCCTACTGAAATGCGATGAAATCGGTAAGGCCGCGGATTTCGAATCTCAAGACTTCGGTCTATGGTGTAAGGTGTTTACCGAAGTTTGTGAAACTACAATGTACTTGGGGCGTTTCGTGAACATGAAATGCAGCTTTAGAACAATTCTTCTTTTTATACAAACTGCAATTACCATATGTACTATGCGATGCGTACTCACTCGAGTCTCGATCACCACCCACGTGCAAATTATTTCCGCGACGATATTAGATTCGTCTACACGTATAGAAACATTTAATATTTAGATGAAAAAAAGTTGAAAAGAAACACATATATTTTGCTGTACCGACTGCTGTAAGTACAGACAGATTTTATTTTGTTCATTTATATATGTGGTAAGATGCGTAATACATAGTACAATACACACACCCACACACACACACACACATGTATACTTACCGTGCATACATACTTATTTACGTATAAACGTAAAGTTGTATTTATTTCCGAAGAAATCAATGAATATACATACAACTATTTCATAGAATAATTTAGTCGGTTTAGTCGTCATTTATTATTTCCACTTTGATCATTTTGAGAGGTAGGCTCGACGAAGAGGAGAATTACTTGAACGTTCTGTTGTTACTCTTGACGATCGTTGTACGAATAAAAGTAAATGGGAATACAAATATCTATCCAGATGCGATACATTGGATTTTTCGAAACCGCGTATGTAGAAACTAACCTCCTTCGATACCCATACTCATTCCAGACACGCGCACACACATACAGACACTTTCTCGTGTACAGTCTTATCCAGTTAACAAGCTATTTTATTCGGGTAGTCTGCTAGTACACTGGACCATTTTGATACACCAAGGTTTCTGAACTGTAGGCAGAAAGTTTGCAAACGATCCCATTCCAAGAGACGTCTCTAGCGATGTTAACTCATGCAATTGATTGGCAAGTAAGTTGAACGTTTTGCCGTGTGCGGCGTCGCGGTCATTTTGATCAGATTCATCGTCATATGCTACACAATTATGTAGGTATGTATATACTAGATAAAGAAAAATATATCAATAATTGTCGTGGTACGATATTAGTTTAACGAAATACCACCTTATCGAAGCTATATATCGTATTTATTTCGACTTTATCGTTTCACGGTCCTTTTCGATCTTTTCAAAATACCTCTCGGTCAATGACTTTTCCGATTTGCGAGTAACGATGGGCAGGTGTATAGCCAATCGTTATTTCGACGATCGAATGCCGAGCGAATAAGACTTTTTCCCAATGATTTTTCACGCTATTCGATTGTATTCACATTTTAAAGTGTAGTCAGAATTCTAATAGAAAGAAATCCGAATCACAGATTTATCCTTGTTTACATTGTATAATTATTATCATAGTTTTAAATGGAGACGATATCGTTACAATTTAACAAACTAACATCTTGAAGTAGAAAATATTTTCGAGAGAGTTTCGATATTTCGAAATAATTTGAAAAGGTACGGTTTACGATTATTGAAACGAAACGAGCGAGGTTTTTCGACTTGCAACATATAAAACGCACCAGAAATTTGCGAATTGTTTTATTCGTGTCTATCGATGATAACGTATACGAAATACTGTGTCGTTAAGAATGTACCCGAACGATTCGATCAGATTGAAATCAAAGATAATTTGAAAAATTCGCATACTCATCTTCTCGCGCATTGATAAACGAGAATGAACAGGTTGAATCGTTTAAAAGAAGAAAAAGAAACGGAAACAA